ATACAGATATGATCCTTCTATTGGTGCGGCTGTTGTATTTGTTCTTCTCTTCCTTATTGCTTCCTGTATCCATACGTACCAGGTTGCGCGGACTAGAACATGGTTCTTTGTTCCCTTTGTCCTTGGTGGATATTGTAAGTACACCCAATTCCTGCACACGACCTGCTGCAAGGGCTCATTTGGCGTCTAATCACTAGTTGAATGGATCGGCTACATTGGAGTGAGTCTCATTCCTTGATTCCATCCCATGTGAGGGAGGCGTTATGTTAACTTCTGGATGAGCGAGCCGTATCGGGGACACAAAGTCCGAATTGGACCGTTCAACCCTATATTCAGCAAACCCTCCTGCTTCTGATTGCTCCTACCCTATTTGCCGCGAGCATCTACATGGAATTGGGCCGGATAGTCCTACTGACAAATGGGGACATACATTGCTGGATGAGGCGACAGTGGTTGACCAAGATTTTCCTCTTGGGCGATATCATCTCGTTTATCATGCAAGGGGCAGGTAGGTCGAGCAAGCCGCTGCCATTGTGTCCTGTATTCTAGCTAACTATCTCGAAGGCGGCGGGATCATGGCAAGTGGCAGTGCCAGCGCGCTCTCCACCGGCGAGCACATAATTATCGGAGGTTTGGTCGTACAGCTGATATTCTTTTCTCTGTTTCTGGGGACCACCGTCAAGTTCCACATTGGCATTCAAAACGCCCCGACCCGGAAAGTCCTCCATTCGCAGCCGCCATGGGAAAGGCACATCTACGCAATGTATGGTGGCAGCCTTCTCATCTTTGTCCGCTCCATATTCCGCCTCATTGAATATGCTCAAGGCAATGACGGCTATCTCGTGACACACGAAGCATACGTGTATATTTTCGACGGCGTGCTAATGCTTCTGAACATGGGCGTGTTTGCATGGATCCACCCGAGTGAAATAAACGCTTTGCTCAAACCGGGGAACAAGGCAATAAGGCGCCTTTACMTTGTCTATTCTGTGGGGAGTAGATTGCCAGGTTAAGTGGAGTAGCTTGCACACCTTCATTCGAGTCATTCCAGCGTCTTCTAGTTGACGCAATATGTTTATACTGGCCGGTCGTAACCAATTCGAATGATGGAACAGGGAGACCTATAGGACTGTTTACATGTATCATACACTTTTGAACGAAACAAACGTGCATTGGGGTGGGGCCGGTGGGCCCTGGCCGTGGGGCCGACGTAAAATCGCATGGGACGGATCGGGCGTTTTCGCTTTCGTGTTCGTACTGCTGGTAATCTCAGATTTTTGTGGCCCTTCCAGGCGTGTCTCAAGCCCGACTCAGGTAGGTTGCCGCAACCGCCACCTCCTAACTACTACATTCACGGTTTCACTCAACGCACGTTTTGTCCTCAAGAGGCCTACCTCATGTTCTAAATCTTTTCTAAATCTCAGGTGACACTACATACATGCGGATATCTCCTACCGACATTTTATAGCCCTCAGCTGTCCCAGCGCCTTACCTTCCTGTTATGGCTACGCGGAGGTCGCACAAAAAGTCCCGCAATGGTTGTGACCAGTGCAAAGAAAGAAGAGTTAAGGTTTGTCCAGTTTGCTTTCCAGCCTGAGACTTGTCATGGCCAGCCTTCCTGTAGATTGTTACTTACATGCACGCCTATGGCCCTATTCATCTGATCTAGTGCAATGAGGATCATCCCTGCGGTAATTGCTCAAAGCGTGGTATGAATTGCACCTATAAACGTCGTAACAGTCCTTCTCCTATAGGAGAAGGAGTGGGCAATGTGTTAGGTCTAGCAGCTGGCGTGCAAACTCCTCGGGAGTTGTGCAACTCCCGATTTCCGTCGATTTCTCATAGTGATGCCTTTGGTTCGTTTCATGAGAAGGTAGCAGAGGCAGCCTATATTTCCCAAGAATGGACCAGCCAGGACCCCGAACTAATGCATCATTTTACGCTCCACACTTCCAAGTCTCTCGCTAGGCGGCAGAAAATGCAAGATGCATGGCAAGTTGCTATCCCGACGTTGGCTTACTCATATGAATTCCTAATGCATGGCATTCTTGCCCTGTCCGCGCTCCACCTCGCCCATCTTAAACCCGAAAATTACAGCCGGTACATGACAAGCTCCAGATTCCACATCTCCCTCGGCTTGCGCTCTTTCCGGAGAATACTTCTGTCGCCCACGACTGACAACTGCTGTGCACTGTTCGGCTTTTCAAGCCTGATCATGGTTTACATATATGCTTCCCCAGCAGAGCCCGCGGAGGTCGATATGGTCGACACGCTCGAATCCACTCTTCATTTGTTCAAGTTGTGTCGGGGAACCCTAGTCCTCAAGCCTTACATAAGTCATGTGCGAAACAGCTCCCTAGGGCCACTCTTTCGGCAGGAGTTTGGTATGCTGGAGTTTGATGAAAAGTAAGTTCTATTTCCAGGCTCCCCGATAGTTGTGAGCTTGTCGTACAACGAGTCAATACGTCTACCCCTCCCATTTATTTTCTCGGTTCCAACCTCCGCAGAGCACCAATACGGGAGCTGGGTATTTCGCAGCTCACAAGGCGATTAGGGAGACGTCAAGCAACATATTTCAAGGAGTGGAGTCCCAGCTTGAGCTGCTCAGGCAGCTTGTTGAGTCGGATACGGCAGAGCCTGAAGAGAGAACCATATTTTCCGAAGCGCTTGACCGTCTCGCATTATCATTTAAGGCTATCCACAATGCTGAATTGCCATTGGAGTGCGGAATGATCTACATGTGGCCGCTCTCTGTAAATGAGCAATTCTTCGATCTTCTGAGGCAAAGGCACGCCGTTGCACTTTTACTGCTAGGTTTTTACTGTGCTCAACTCCATGTCTTTTGTGACTACTGGTTCGTCGGACGGCGAGGTCATTCGCTGTTTTCCAGCATTTCGGCTGTTCTACCCAGTCGACTTACTCCATGGCTGGAGTGGCCAAAAGACTTCATATTCCAGGACCGGAATATTTAGGAACAATATATGGTTCGATATGACCCTCTAGAGAATTCTGTTCCCTTCAATACTAGGGCTCGGCATAATTTCGCTTCGTGCTGCTTTAATGATTGTAATTGAGCTGATCATGCAGACTTTGGTCTCATAAAATAAGACATTACCCAATAATACCTTGACATCCACATCAGCCATCATAAGAAGAGTTACCGATCTTTTTGAGCCCTTCGCTTTAGCACAGACAACAAATGAAATAACAATGCCATTATCAGTAATCTGATTAAGGACTATGGCATAGAGTAAACTAGGTAGAGCGAGTATATGCCCTCCATGCTTATCCTTTCAGACTTTCAGCATGTGCATCCCTAATCAAAGGATGCGTTCTTGAAACTCTCGTGTATATCTGTAAGAATCCGAACTTAGCGACTGGGGGTACTGTCAGGTTTGTATTTGTCTTATACTGGCATATATATGCACATCACCACCACTTTCATGCCAACCTATAACAGGAATGATTATTCCATTATATCTCACCAACCACCAGATATTTTGGTCTCCATATCAATCATGGGAGGATCACTTTGAAACAAGCGTGCAGCGACCGCGGATAGGGGAGGGAATGCCGCATCTTGGCTCAAGTGAACGAGATTATCTTCCCTCAATGTTGCGCTCGATGCTTTCCTTTAAACCGGAGAATCGTCCATCTGCTCAGCACGTCTTCGAGTCTGTAGGATTATAGATCCCCATGATGTGACTTACTTGACTTTCAGGCCTTATGGAAGGCAAAGGTATAAGAGGACTGTGTTGGATTGTTGCTGTAAACTTCAAAAAAAGTTTTGGTGGTAGTAGAGTGTCGAGTTAATTGTATTTATTACATCTTACCAGAGATTGCACATTGTCATAACCGGCGTTGGACGCGATTCTGGCTTAGTAGAGGAAGGTTACCAAGGACGAGTTTTGATCATGTTACGGATTTCCAAAAAATATAAACTGTATAGGTATACTAGGTATACCATACATTAGCAAGTCGCTCAACCAACGCTATTCTAATCCTATCCGATGAGGGCAATGTTGAGTAACGGACAAAGTGTCCAGGCTACATAGCGTTCATGGTCAATATATTATTCGCAGATTATATTAGCATTTACATGATGTATAGGGTCAGTTAATGTGGAACAACAAAAATATTAATTTATAGAACCAACTAAGCCTAATGCTAAGTATAGGCAACTCTAGGACAGCTTAGGACAAATTTAAAAGGTAATTCTCGCTTGTATTTACGGACATGATTTGATTAAGCCTGCGCAAGACTCTGGAGTATTCAATAGGTTGCAGAACAGAAATGCCGTATTGCGAGATTGCTCAAGTCATTCCAAGCACCGCATGTCGAAGGACGGAGCTATGTCGTATATTCCCCTGGCTGGAATAAAGAGTTCACATGGTATCCCACTGTGTTCTCCAGCCCATAACTGTTAGCATTCTGCGATCTTTTTCTGATTCCGACCAGTGGATTTTGGCGTGAGTTGGTGAGAACTTTATAGCCTTGACGTACTCTTTCATTGAGTGCGCACGGAGTTCCATGACAGGAGGACCGCTGATGCTGGACGCGAACGTGTGGCCGTAGGCGTACTCAGTTGTAACTGATATATAGCCCTCTACGATCTTGAAGGAGTTCAACTAGGATAGAGATCTATTCAGCCGGGTAGCAAGGGCCTTGCGGGCATCAATTTTCAAGTCCTTGCATTCCTTCACGATATCGCCAAGGCTCATCATGCTCTTTCAACAAACCAATTGTCAGGGTCGAGCTTCTGGTGGAGAAGCTTTAGAGTTACGGTGAAGGATTGGTGCTCGGTAATGACGCAAGACAGGGATGTTATTCGTGTTTAGGAGCTGGGGTGCCTGCAGGTGATCCAGACTAGCGCGGTTATAGGTGGCTTAGCAGAGGCTGACATCTCCACTGGTTGCGTGTCGCGACCCTCCATTTCTGTGTTGCATTCCATCAAGTAATCCCAAACATGGTATTGAAGGTGCCTACGTTGACTGATTCAAATGGACCCTCCAAAAAGATCGTTCCACCATGAGAATTACAGGATCGCATGGCTCTGTGCCCTCCCTGTGGAGATGGCCGCCGCCGAGGCGATGCTAGATGAAAGACACCCTGACCTACCCACCAAGCCCAACGACAATAACACTTACATCCTAGGCCGCATCCATGCCCACAATGTTGTGATCGCATGTCTCCCATCTGGTGTCTATGGTACCACCTCAGCTGCGACTTTGGCGGCCGAGATCCGGTTCACATTCGGGGCCATTCAATTCGGGCTAATGGTGGGGGTCGGAGGGGGCGTGTGGGGGGACGTCGATGTTCGGTTGGGCGACGTCGTGGTCAGTAAACCAACGAGGGAGTTCGGCGGCGTAATCCAATATGACTGTGGTAAAGCCATCGAGGGAGGATGCTGGGAGCGGACTGGAATGTTGAACAAACCACCGACAGTCCTCTTAACTGCGATTTCTAGACTGCAGGCGGCGCATATGTTGAGGCCCAGTCAGGTTTCAGATATCGTTTCCCAGACACTGACGAAAAATCCGACTATGGTAGGCACGTTCGGATACCCTGCTGAACGGGAAGATACCTCCTGCCAACCCAAAAGTAATCGTTACATTGGAAGGGAAGGTGCTTCTGACAATAGCACTGAACAAAGTCCAACAATGTCGCCGAAAGGGTGCGCAGTTCATTATGGCTTGATAGCCTCTGGCAACAAGGTCATCAAGGATGGAAAGCTGCGCGATAAACTCGCTCGGGAACATGGCATTCTCTGCTTTGAAATGGAGGCGGCTGGATTAATGGACAACTTCCCATGTCTGGTAATCCGGGGTATCTCCGACTATGCGGATTCGCATAAAACCAAGAAATGGCAGGGATATGCATCTCTAACGGCCGCTGCATATACCAAGGAGCTACTGGGGGTGATTCACACGCAGCAAGTCGTAGAATCTCCCATGATCACCTCGGCCGGGGAGTGTATGTGTCCACCGTCTCACAAATAGCGATTGAAACATACTGACGACTAGGACGCCAGCACATACGGATCGCGCACCATTTCATCGAAAGCTACGCTCGTATATGGACTGGGTAGTACGCAGCGGTAAGGAACGCCCTTTTCCACTCTTTGCGGAGAGGTATTTGCTGACCCGTTCCAGAGCCAAGCTTCAATGAAACGCTACTGGAGCGCATCACGAGTTATGACCACGAGAAGGTACACCAAAGAGTGTCGCGCAAGAGACTCGTGGGCACAACGCAATGGTTCATGAACCACCCGGATTTTCAGGCTTGGTTTTCTGGGAAAGAGTATCCTTGTCTGTGGTGTTCTGGCAAAAGTGAGTGAGTGTCATTGGGGATTACATGCAGGCGCGGTATGCAGAATTGGCGTCTAACAAGCATAACAGTTGGCTCAGGGAAATCTATTATCGCGTAAGTGGCATGTTCCGTCCATGTGGGCAAGCTATAACAATTCGGATAGTTCCGCGGTCATCGAAGAGGCGAGGCTCCGCTCTTCAAAGCTAAACAGCCCGACTATATTCTTCTACTGTGACGAACAACGCGCATCAGAGCAAGGATTGCTTATTCTGTCGAGTTTCATCAAACAGTTATGTGAATATCTGATTCGAACATCCCAGCCCTTCCCGGAGAAAATCAAGAAAATTCTGCACCGTTACTTTGGGCGCGAGAGGGAAGCACCTGATATCGAAGACTCGCAGGATATACTCTCTCAACTCTTTTATGCAGTGCCAAACACCACGTATATAGTGGATGGACTCGATGCCCTCGATCAGACTGACGCGAAATATCTCCTAAGCTGCCTCCGGTCGCTCTTCTTCAACTCCAGCCAGCCGCTGATGGGTTCACAGATTCTCTTCTTCAGCAGGGACCATCTTGCCGGAAACATGGACATAGCGATGTTTATGCCAGATATCTGTCGCATTTCGACCTCGGAAAACGTCGTACACGATATCCGTGTATACATCGAGGAGAGCATTGCAGACAAGATGGTATACAAGAGGCTAACGGAAGATAACACACTGCTTAGTGAAATGAAGCATACCCTGCTTAAGGAGTCCTCCGGAATGTACAGCCTCCATTTCTTTTAATAATTCTATATTTTCCGTTCTTAACTAACTGCTCTAGGTTCCTGTGGGTCTACTTGCAGCTAGAAATTCTTTGGGATACGTGCGTCACAGATACCGAGATACGCTCTGCCCTAAGGGCGTTACCAAAAGACTTAGAAGAAACATACCATCGGTGCGTGGGAAGGATTAATTTCCAGGATCCCCGCGTTCTCAGGGCCCTGTCTTGGGTTCGCTTCGCCGCCAGGCCGCTCCATATCGAAGAGTTACGGGAGGCGGTTGCGTTCAACCTCTGCGATATGTCGTGGGACCAAGGCAAGATCCCCAGGGGTGACTTTGTGATTAGCTGCTGTGCCAATCTTCTGGTCTTAGATCCCATGGACAGTTGCGTTCGTTTTGCACACTCATCAGTGAACCAATACCTCGACAACCATCGGAGAATGATAGTACCTGGCTTCCCACAGTCCCCCGAACAGGGGGATCGAGATTGCGGAGACTTTTGTGTCACATATCTCTCCTTCACTGATTTCAGCCTCCAACTTGATAAGCGAGCAGATGATACCATACAAACTGTAGTGCCAGATCTACCCTTGCTTGCAGCGGAAATTCCCGGATCCCAGTTCGTTAGATGGCTCTTCCAAGGTCACGGGCAACAAGTGCGTTCTATTTCATTGCCTTTCCGTTCTATACGGACTCCTTTCGTTCCGACTCGAACACAGTACAGGTTTCTGGATTATGCCATTAGCAACTGGGCCGTACAGACGAAACACATCAAAGTGGGCGGAGTAGTCTGGGACAAGTTCACGAGACTGGCACTGAGCTTCAATGAAAGCTGGAGCTTTCACCCCTGGCAGACTGGCGGTCGCTCACAGTTGTCCCATTTGCACGCCCTCTTGGGATGGGCAGTTAGGGAGCGTCACAGACCACTGCTGCGGATTGCTTTGGGGTTTGAAGATTATATTCAGGACATCTGTAATCTTCCACTTGTGGGAGAGGGTGTTCCAGCGCTCCACCTAGCCTGTAAACGTGCAGACGAGGACATAGTTCGGGAACTCCTGGCAGTCTGTGACGTCAATAAGATTGACATAAAAGGATGCACCCCTCTGCATTACGCAGCCGCGAAGGGACACACTCAAGTGACTTGTATGCTTTTGAATACAAGGGGCATAAAGGTGAACGCCCTTTCAAGTACCTTGGGGACACCGCTATCGTTAGCCGCTAGAAGGGGCTGGGGAACTGTTGTGAGCGAGCTCATTAAACACGGAGCAGCCCTTGAATCCAGGAATAAGGGCTCCCAAACACCATTGATTCTGGCTGCCGCCGCTGGGCATACTGCCGTCGTGGAATTCCTGATCCATAGGGGCGCGGATATTAGGGCTCAGGACATCGAAGGCCGAACCCCTATATCCTGGGCTATAAAGAATAGGCATCTAGCAGTAGTCAGACTGCTGCTTGACCATGATCCAACCCTGCGCTCCTCAGAGGGTGGGACTTATCCGGGGCTTCTTTCCGCGATCGAGGAGGACCAGTATGAGGTGGTGAAAATGATGGTGGAGAAAGGAATAAACCCAAATTCGAAATTTGACCGAGAATCTGTCAACGATCCCAGGACACTCCTATCCTGGGCCGCAGCGAGAGGACAAGAGGCTCTCGTACTACTACTTATCAGCAAGGGGGCTGACATCGGGATGCAAGATGACATTGGGTGGACTCCCCTCGCTCGCGCCGCAGAATTCGGCCAAGAGGCGATAATAAAACTGCTCATCAACCACGGCGCGGATGTGAACTTCCCTTACAGTGACAATTACACGCCACTTCAAGCAGCTGCGGAATGTTGGAACAGAGCGGCAGCGGAGCTACTCATCGAGAATGGTGCAGACCCTACGCATAGAGGGTTCGCTGGTCGAGGTCCGCTATCATCGGCTGCACGAGCAGGGCAAGAGTCCCTCATGAAACTGCTAATTGAGAAAGGCGCCTACCTTGAAGAAGAGGATTACAGAGGTCGTACCCCTCTTATTCTGGCTGCAGAAAAAGGACATGAAGCCGTGGTCAGGATACTGTTGGACCATGGCGCAGATTTCAGGGCCTCAGACATTGCTGGTCGAACCCCTCTCATCATAGCCACACACAATGGGCATCTCGCAATAGCTGAGCTACTTGCTGAGTATAGTGCCAACCATGAGCATCAAAGTCGTGCTGACAGGAATACACTGCTGCGAACAAGAGCGCGTCCAAGCTCTTTGTCGGAGGGGGGTATGGTAAGGGGTAGTGAAAGGCCATAAACAAGCTCCGTATGGAGATTGTAGCGCATTAAAGATAGAAGAAGGCTTTTGATTCATACTGTCTTGGAGAATCCGGTCGGATCAACTTTAGGATCTGCTAATAGTAGTAGCAAACTAAGCTTGCAGTGGTTTCTGAGTTCTCTGCGGAGTACCCTTGATTCACTCATCACCAGTGCTTCAATTTCTTTGAATATTTTGGAAGTAGCAGATAGATTAGCATCCAAATTCGTATAAGAGTTAGAATTGTAATTACTAACTGTCACATGATTGCTGTGTGTTTAGGATTCATTTCGTTTGCCATGACGGCAAATGTGCCATACTATGGCTATAAAGTGAGGATGATGTTCAAGAACATGACTAAGGAAGCAAGGTAGCTTCAACGCTCCATCCAGAGTTACCTGAATCGGGTTCGTTTCTTATTGTAGTTGAGTGTCGTGAACGACAGTCGAGTCCTGTGTGGTTATTGCCGTTCTAGCTGTCGCCTGCTGAGCAGCTTCTCCAGTCTGAATGGATGGTCAAATAGGCTCTGCCTGAGTACGAGATGATTCACAACTCTCAACAAGAGCATGGTGTGCATGGCTTGAATATTTTGGATTTAGTAAAATCCCTCACTCTCTGCAGCGGCGGATGTTCATGGCCGAGAATATCGCGGAGATCCCTTTATTTGACGTCCAAAAGCCTGCCCTCAGTCGTGGCTGGCTGTTCTATCTTACCACCGCTACTTTGACTCCCGACGGCCTGATCCCCATATGGGCCGACATGAAAAACGTGCTACTGTTCGCTGTCGCGCTACAGCCGTTAACAAGTCTGACCTACTCTAGCTCCAAATACGCAACCTTTCGTCTCTCATCTGAGCGGCTGATGCCCGGCTTCCTTGGCATGCAGATGACTGCACCTATCAAGCTGACGGTAGGACCATTGAAGCGTCAGCTTACCGGGCAGTGCTGATATCAGAGTGCGGAGATGGCCCCAGATCCGATCAGCTCCTACTCGTATCCAAGTCCACGATCCTTGCTCTTATTAACGTTACGGCAAAAGTTGCAAACTTTGGCCCCCGCCATTTGAGCAAGGGAAGTGGTATATAAATGCGATTCCACTCGACTACATATTTTGATGCAGCGTCCAAAATCATTTACAATATCTCGTCCATACCGAGACTACCATGTCAACAATCGACAGAGTCGCCATCATCGGTGCTGGCCTTTCTGGCCTAACCCTTGCTCTAGCCCTACACAGACAATCCATCCCCTGCTCCCTCTACGAGGCTCGATCATCTCCCCTCAATATCGGCGGTGCAATCATGATCTCCCCGAACGCACTTCGCATCCTTGACCAGCTAGGCGTCTACGAGCGCATCCGCCCAGAAGGCTACGAGTTTGACAAATTATACTTCCGCTCCCCGGACCACCAGCCCATGGATACCTACGATTTCGGAGGCACAGAGAAATATGGCTACCACGGGATGCGCATCTACCGACATGTTCTCATCCGGGAGCTCTCCGCCATGGTCAGCGAGGCGAAAATCCCAATTAAATATCACAAGAAATTCGGCCGCGTGGTCACCGAAACAGAAGAGGATATCACCTTTGAATTCGCGGACGGCACCACCGAAACCGCAACCTGCCTCGTTGGCGCGGACGGCATCCACTCCCGCGTGCGAAAATACCTCTATCCAGACCTCGAGCCCATCTTCACTAACATCGTCGCTGTGACGGCCGCTGTGCCGACGAGCCAGCTCCAGGTCCCCAGCGGGTATGGCCTCCCAGTGACGATCCTGAATAGGACGCACGGGGCATTCGTCATTGCGCCGCAGTTAGCCGATGGCTCAGAGGTGCTTATCGGGCGGCAAAAGCGGGCACAGCAGCTAAGCCGGGAGGGGTGGGATGAGCTGCTAAGTAATAAGGAGTGGTGCGTGGATTTCCTGCGGGAGGGGGCGGACGCGTTTCCAGAGATCGTGCAACGGGCTGTGGCGGATATCACGACCGACAAGATCAATCTGTGGCCTTTTTATGTGGTGCCCAAGCTTGGGACGTGGAGCTCGGAGCATTCCCGGGTGATGATATTAGGGGATGCGGCGCATGCGATTCCGCCGTCTGCGGGACAGGGTATTAATCAGGCGTTTGAGGATGTTTTCACATATGCTCTCATCCTTGGACGGTCGGGTAAGGAGTCTCTGTCTCTTGAGCGAGCATTGAAGATTTGGCAGGAGGGGCGGCAGGAGCGGTTGGATAAGGTGCTGGCGCTGAATGCGCAGATTGATAAACGGAGAATGCCAACCGTGGGAGACGAGAAGGATGCAGAGGAGCCGTTTGACTTGGAATGGTTGTATAAGCCGGATTTCGTGGAAATGGTGGACGGCTGGCTTTCAAGGATGGATAACTGATAGTGAACTATAGTGCGTAGATATAGGTAGTCATTACAATCCCATTATTTCCCACACTTGAATATAGACAGGCCCGCTGAAAAGACATTACTCAACAACTTCAAACCGGACAGACCGGTTTACTCCAAACGTATCCCTCCAATCATCCCACAACTTCTGCAGTGCCTTGATATACTCCTCCTGCAACTGATCAATATACTTCTGGTCCGGATCCCACCGCTGCTGCGTAACAGCAATCGGCTTCCCAACAACAACATTCAACGGCCGCCGATACGGACAGAAGATATTGAAGCGCCCAGTAGAAAACGCGACCTTGTGTCCAACAGCCCATTCCCAGACCCGAGCCACAAGTCCCAGGACAGACGAAGAGGAAACATCCACACAATCAAACAATTCGTTCTCACCGAAAGCAATGACAGGGACAATATCCGCCCCCGTCTCAACCGCCACCCGCACAAAACCCTTGCGGATGCGGACGACCACGCCCATTGTCCCCGGCTTGGCGATGTTATACTCGCGACTGCCACCTACGGTAATGGTAATTGCTCGGCCCATGCCCTGCCCGTCGTGCCCGCCGCGGGTGAGGTGTCGGATACACGACGAGCGGGACACACCGCTCACCCCAATGGAGAGGAGGTACTCTCTGTAGAGAGGTTGGTAGAACGACTCGTCTTTCATTAAGAGCGTGTTCGTGATGCCTGGGAAGAGCTTGGAGAATCCGGCGGCGTCGGCGGCTAGGGCGCCCACTGCGCCTCGGATGGCGATGCCGTGGGGATGGTAGCCGAAGATGTACTTTTTGCGAGGGGAGAGAGGTTCGGAGCGGTATAAGCGGAGGGGGAAGTAGGAGGCGTAGGCCTTCCAGATCCAGGATATGCGGAATCGGTCGTTCCGAAGAGGTAGTGTGCCGGTTTTGTGTGCTTTGGCGAGGTATTTGATGTAGACGATGTAAAGGAGGACGAATAGACGCAGACGAGGGACGAGAAGAAGGGAGTATCCGAGTAGTGGGAGCAGAAACCAGGCGTTGCAAATCGTACTCACAATGAGAGTTTCTTTGATATCTCGCAGAATTGGTACTCGGGCAGATTTGCTCTTGGTTTCCGGGGGTTGCGTGGTTTGTAGCACCATCCCAGCACGATTCTTCATCTCGTATAGAGGACACTTGGTGTCTTCCACCTTCACCTCTGGCATGTGCTTCGCCATCTTCTCCGGGTTGAGTGCCAGCTCGACGATCTTCTCGGCAGCTGCTACACGGCCCTCCTTTTTGTGGCAGAGCTTGGCCAGCTCGAGTGCCTGGACTTTGTACGACGTGTTACCCATGACCTTGAGCAACGCCTTGCTCAGCTCTTTGGCATCAATGTTAGGCGCACGGCTCTTGTTACCGTAAACACCAATTCCGAGCCATTCCGCTCGAGCGGCATTTTCGTAGCAGTCTTGCCACGCAGGGAGTACCACATGAGGCACACCGTTTCTATACTGTTAGTCTGGCTCAGTGTGGCAGGAGGGGAACTTACTGAATTGCTTCATACCACGAGTTGGCACCGCCATGATGAACAGAGCAGACGATCTGGCCCGTTTGCAGCATGGCCATTGGCTCAACCTCGAACCAGGGTTGGATTCGCGCGCTGTCTGCCTCGACCTCGGCCTGAAGAGGTTTGATGGACTGAGCGTAGACATCTTCCTCGTCATGTGGATGTTTGGGCAACTTCCACAGAATCTGAACCTTCTCCCCCTTCCAGGAGGTGAGGAACATTTTCAGTCCTCGGGCAATATTCTCCGCTACTTTTGGGTCTGGCGCGTAAAGCGTCCCCAGATTAACCAGGACAGTCGGCGCCTTGCGGAGCCAGCTAGCGAGTTCTGGATCCTGCTTTTCTACCGACGCAGTGGGAAGTAGGATTGGTCCGCAAGGCAGGATATTATCTGGAACGTCCATGGGCCAGTCCAGCTCTTTCAACGCCGGGGACAGGTGGAAGCGGTCCGGTCGCCAAGCATCTGCAAAGGGGAACCGACCGTGGATCTTGTGCCGGATGCGCCATTCACGGATTTCACGGCGGCGACCGCTGCCGTGGTACATTTTGGCTGTTTTAAGCACAGCCAGTGTATTGAGAGGGATGAGATGGGGAGGAAGGGGATAGGGGAATCCTGTCCCGGGTCTATTACAGTCAGTGACTGAACATTATTGCTTCTGGAAACGACTTACAAGGGATACTTCCACAGAGCAGCGGAATGTGGCTGCAGGCCGAGGACGATATGAGTGAGGGATGTGGTGTTGATCAAGATGGCCGTGTAGCCAGCGTTATAAGCGGCATCGCGGCCCTGCAGGAAGAAGAAGTCCGCTGCAATTACCGAAGGCTGCACCGACTTGATGATTTCCATACAGCACTGGTAGATATCGACATATTCGTCCTCGGTCCAGCCCCAGATGTCTTCGCACAGCGACTGGAAGCCAAGAACAGCGCCGCTGTATCCAGGAGKATGGAACGCTCCTCGCTTGCCCGTGCGAATGAAAACATCTGTATTGGAGGGGCCGCGAATGGGATGAAAATGAATGCGCGATCGAAACGAGTCATTGTATGAAGGGGCATTATCGTTCAAGAGTTTATTCACCCGTCTTTCCAGCGCGGGGAACGAGGCAATGTGGACGTCCACGTCTCCTCGAACGAGCAGCTCATGGGTGATGGCCAAGATGATGTTTGTCTGGCCATGTTCGCTATTAGCGAGGAATAACACCCGGGTAGGAGTAGCCATAGAAGTGAGTTGAGACAAAATGTTAGGGATGGAGATAAGGTGGTACGTAGTGGGACAGGTTTTTATATGCCAATCAATGGACTGAATCATCCCGTGTCATTTAGGTAAGTGACCGCAATATGTAACACCAGTGTTCAKGAGAACCTCCTGACCGATTTGATCAGTAATGTCGTGATCAGAATTTGGGATCTGATTTTCTCGACTTGTATCAAGTGTTCGTTTCAAGTGTCTATCGGAGGCGGATCCACTAAGCGCAGATCGGCATCGAGTCTTCACATCAACCATCACACCATACGGCAGAGACAGATAGAGAGAGTCCGGACGAACGCCGAGACAGTATCACATTATGAGCAATTTCCACCCGAAACGCAGGTGAGCAAGTCTTCGCGGTGCTTACCCAGATCTAGCCCTAGCTGATCTGACGCCGAGGACGAGTTGCTAGAGAGATAAATAGTAGAACATGTTCTGTAGGCTCGATAGGACTATCATCCCCAACACTCGTTCACTGCATTCTCAATATGGTCCTCGTTGCGATGTCGCTGCCTTCGGGGCCTTTTCCTGAATTCTCCTACCCGGTCGTCCCTTTTCCCGTCCTTGCTGTCATTCTCGTGCCCTGCCTTGTACTACTGGCAATACAACTGGTGCCAAAGGGACCAGTCATCAAAGGAGTACCTGGATCATTCGTTGACCTATATCTCTGCGGTGTAAGTCTCTATCCTGCTTACAAGAATCGCATCTGACATGCGCAGATTGGCACCAAGCTGGCCTTCATCTCTGGCCGCAGTGCACACTCTTTTCTCTCTCTTCACCAATCCTATGGTATGGACCTGAAATTCCTCGTTGCGATTAGTCTAACAAACCAGGCAACATCGTCCGATTCGCCCCCGGTCAAGCCACCACCAACACTGTCAAAGCACTGCGTCAGATCTACGGCAGCGGGACTGCCAAAGGCGCTGCATTTCTCAAAACAGGCTTCTACAGAAATATCTCCCGTCGCAATATCTTCACCGCTGCAGATCCCGTCTACCATGCCTCGGTACGCAAGCTGTTCGGCCCCTCGTTCACCCCTGGTTCTATGCATGTCCATGCAGGGGTCATCCGCGAGTGCATCCTCCGCTTGCACGAGGTGATCCGAGGCAAAATCGAGACAAAGGACACCCTCTCTCTGAATGAGCTTCTCTACTGCCACTCGGTAGATACCGTCTCCGAGGTCCTGATAGGCAAGCCACTAGGCTGCCTGAAACGCGGCAAGCCCTACTTCTGGACCGAGCAATTGCCGCGTATCTTCTACTGGGCAACAATCCGCGACCAGTTCGAGGGCTCCGGCGTCCCAACGGCAATCAAGTGGCTGCTGCGCCGGCTTCTGCGCAAGGGGATCCGTCTGCGCAGCGAGCAAGCCCGCATGCGACTCATCAACGAGTAGGTTTTTTTTCGTTTCCGGTAATTGACATGAGACAAGCTAACGTATCAGACAACTGCGCGCATCACACACCCGCCGCGATATCATGGTCGAGGTGATGGAGCGATCCGGGGGCAGCGATCTCCCCGAGGCTGAAATTGCCGAGAACTTCTCGGCGATCATGCTGGCGGGCTTCCACACGACGCAGAATGCCCTCTGCGCAGTCATTTACTTAGTGCTGACCCACCCGGAGGTGCATGTGAAGCTGGTGCAGGAATTACAGGCGGCCTTCGCGTCGGCCGAGGATATCTCGGGGGATGTGGCGGCGCAGCTGCCCTATCTCAATGCTGTGATTACAGAGGCGTTGCGCTTGTATCCGCCTGTGCCTTTGGGGGGTCCGCGTGTTTCACCTGGGGCGTACGTGGATGGGGCGTATATCCCTGCGGGGGTGAGTACAGATCTCCATTTTGAGACTTTATTCAGTACGCTAACATGATGCAGACTGAGATCTGTACGTCGTTGTTTGCTCTGCATCATAATCCGGAGTACTTCCGCTGCCCCTACGAATTCATCCCGGAGCGATGGACGGAGCCTGGATCCACAGACCGGAAAGAGGCGGTTCAGCCATTCCTGGTGGGAAGTCGGGCTTGTATCGCCAAGTACTTTGCCAAGCAGATGCTCCAATTGACTCTGGCCGGGTTCTTTTTAGAGTTCGAGGCCGAGTACGTGGGCACGGTTAAGGATTGGCAGCGGCAGTCTCGGTGCTATGCCTTTTGGGAAGTGCCGGACCTGAAGTTGAAACTGAGGAAGAGGATGACTGTTTGATAAATCGTCTGTTTTCGCTTTTGTTTAAATTAATGTGACGTATCTCATACCCATAGTTCCTCATGATTAGTTGTTTGACATTTCGAAGTGGACCAAGACTCGTATGCACGGATTGTGCCAGGATCAATCTAACGGTGATGATCCCCGTTTCGCACAAACCTTAAGAGCAGTCTTATTGCTGCGCTAAGTCTAGATCGTTCGACTTTAGGCTGTTAATTGAGTTCCGCGTTGGGCTCAAATTTCAGACGTGTTTCATGGTAAGCGGCTATAAACACCGGATGTTTGAACCATGGAACGTGGACAGCTGAGCATTGAGGTATCATCTTGCACCTATTATTTCATCTATCGCAAACACGCATGAATCAGATTATTTATTTTTGGATATCAGGAACCTCAGGTACATTCTAATGATAAGATTGGTATTCGATCAAGTAAAGCTCGTCTAGTGCCGTGCCAAGTGAGACGCTAGTTGCTTCAAATGTCGATCCCAGTGACAAGCAACCATTTAGACTTTACGATGTGACTGAGCACAGTCTCATAAGTCAGTCACCGATCGTCAAAGTAATGATAATATCGCAATGGCCGAGGCTACGGTACTTGGGGTTCGGCAGTTAAAGTCCGAGGACATTGCCAGTTCGTCTGTCGTCTGATTTTTGAAACACGTCAAGATCCCTGCTGGTGAAACGTTCCACCATGATGTTTTGAGTAACGAGTGCGAGAGACTTTCACAGGGTCTCAGACATGCCCCGTCTCCTACTGACAGCCCTCCTTCCTTCATACCAGACATGTGGTAGCTAAGATGTCCAGTTCACAGCGAGGAGAACATCTACGATGAAGTCAAAGGAGGACATAGAGCTAGAAGATCTGCCAAAAGTAAGTACACTGCATACTTCAGTAGCAGTAACTGACGAAGTAGTCTCCCGGCGGGAGTTCAGCAACACTTTTCCTGTCTGAAGGGGAGAAAGCCATCCTTCACAGACAGATACATGCACCAGAGTCGCATGTAGGCTTCTTTGGTATATACCGATATGCTTCGCGATGGGACATTGTCATCCTGCTCGTCAGCTCGGCCTGCGCCATCATAGGCGGTGCCGCTCTACCTCTATTCACTGTACGTATCCATCATCTCGTCACCATGTTCGAAACTGACGCTATAGGTCCTCTTTGGCAACTTGACCTCAACCTTTCAAGATATTGTCAGCAGACAAATCACCTACGCGCACTTCCACCATGAACTCACCAAGTACGTCGTCTACTTTGTCTACCTGGCCATCGGGGAGTTCACTACCATCTACCTCGCCACTGTCGGCTTCATCTACACCGGCGACCACATTGTGCAGCAGATCCGCGTCGAGTACATGCGCGCCATCCTACGACAGAACATCGCCTTCTTCGATACGCTTGGCGCGGGAGAAATCACGACCAGAATCACCGCCGACACGAACCTCATCCAAGACGGAATCTCCGAAAAGGTCGGTCTGGCGTTAACCGGACTGTCAACGTTCGTCACGGCGTTCATCATCGCATATATCAAGAGCTGGAAGCTGGCGCTAATCTGCAGCGCCACGCTGGTCGCATTGCTGTTAATCATGGGCGGCTGCTCCACAGCCATGCTCGGCTTCAACAAGCGCGCGCTGGCTTCTCAAGGCCAAGGCGCCAGCTTAGCAGAGGATATTCTCGATTCCATCCGAACGGTGGTCGCATTCGACGCACAGGAGACGCTAGCAGCGAAATACGAGAAACATCTTAAAGATGCAGAGCGGCCGGGGATGAGGGCGCAGATGATCTTTGGGCTGATGGTTGGAGCCCTGCTCTGTGTCATGTACCTCAACTACGGGCTGGGATTCTGGATGGGATCGCGCTTCTTGGTCGACGACGGCAATGTCAAAGCCGGAGATGTGTTGACTATCCTTATGGCGATCATTCTGGGATCGTACAATCTGGGCAATATTGCGCCCAACACCCAGGCACTATCCACTGCAGTGGCGGCCGCAACCAAGCTGTACAGCACCATTGATCGGCAGTCTCCTTTAGACGCGTCGCTGGACAAAGGAATTACCCTGGGCCACGTCCGGGGAAACATCGTTCTGCAGAGTATCCGTCACGTCTACCCCTCTCGCCCGGAGGTCATCGTCGCGCACGACCTGAGCGTCGATATCCCGGCCGGCAAAACAACTGCCTTTGTCGGGCCGTCTGGATCCGGCAAAAGCACCATCATAGGGCTCATCGAGCGCTTCTATAACCCTGTAGCGGGGAACATCTGGCTCGACGGACACGATATCGAGCATTTGAATCTGCGCTGGCTCCGCCAGCAGATGTCCCTCGTCTCGCAGGAACCACGGCTCTTCGCCGCCACCATAGCAGAGAATATCCGCGTCGGGCTCATTGGCTCGCAGCACGAACATGATCCTCCTCAGCTAATTCAGAAGAGGATTGAAGACGCGGCCCGCATGGCGAACGCGCACGATTTCATCATGGCGCTGCCGGACGGGTACGAGACCAACATCGCCGGTTTCTCCCTATCCGGGGGCCAGAAGCAGAGGATCGCGATTGCGAGGGCGATCGTCAAAGACCCCAAGATCTTGCTGCTGGACGAGGCGACCTCGGCTCTGGATACGAAATCCGAGGGCCTGGTGCAGGCGGCTCTGGACAAGGCGTCGCAGGGCCGGACCACGGTGGTCATTGCGCACCGGCTGTCCACCATCAAAGGAGCGCATAATATTGTCGTCTTGAACAACGGATGCATCGTCGAGCAGGGCTCGCATGACCGTCTCATGGACAGAAAGGGCGTCTACTACGGAATGGTCAAGGCGCAGCAGATCAAGAAGCGGCTCACGCGCATGAGCCTAATGCCTCGAAGCCCGATGAAGACTTTTTTTTTTGACATGGACTATCCCACTGACGATAACATCTCGGAGTATGAGCACCAGGACGACGCATCTGATGTTGGGCTGAAGACAGGAGAGAAGCTGAAACAGCGGATGTCGAGGATGTCAATATCCGCGCTGCCGGTGCACCTGCAGAGAGCTAAAGAGGTGTCCTACTCACTCTGGACTCTGTTTAAATTCCTCGCCTCGTTCAATCGCCCCGAATGGCCGCTTCTCGGGCTAGGATTGGGCGCATCAATTCTAGCCGGAGGCATCCAGCCCTCGCAGGCCGTCCTCTTCGCCAAAGCAGTTAGCACGCTGAGCCTTCCACCCTGGGAATATCCCAAGCTACGCCACGACGCCAGCTTCTGGTCGCTCATGTTCCTGATGCTCGGCCTGATTACATTCCTCCTCTATGCCTGCCAAGGGAGTCTATTCGCCTACTGCTCTGAGAAAATGGTCTACCGTGCCCGCAGCCAGGCCTTCCGCGTAATGCTCCATCAGGACATTGCTTTCTTCGACGAGCCGGAGCACACCACGGGTGCGTTAACAGCCACGCTAAGCGCAGAAACAAAGCAACTGGCTGGAATCAGCGGCGTCACGCTTGGCACTCTGCTCATTGTCTCGGTGAATCTGGTCGCCTCGCTGGGCATAGCACTAGTCATGGGTTGGGAGCTCGCGCTGGTCTGCATCTCCGCCGTGCCTGTGCTCCTCCTCTGCGGCTTCATCCGCGTCTGGATGCTGGATAAGTTCCAGCGACGCGCGAAGGCGGCGTATCAGCAATCTGCCAGCTCGGCCTGCGAGGCGGCCTCGGCGATTCGCACAGTCGCCTCGTTGACGATGGAGGGCGAGGTCTTGCAATCGTATCAGACCCAGCTGCAGCACCAGCTCAAGCGGGATATCCTCCCTATCGTCAAATCGTCGTTGCTGTATGCCAGCTCCCAGGCCCTGCCGTTCCTGTGCATGGCGCTGGGATTCTGGTACGGCGGGACGCTACTCGGACACGGGGAGTACTCCCTTTTCCAGTTCTATGTGTGTTTCAGCGAGGTGATCTTCGGCGCACAGGCGGCTGGTACCGTTTTCTCGCATGCGCCGGATATGGGCAAAGCGAAGCACGCCGCAGGGGAATTCAAGCGTCTTTTCAGCGGCGAGACCATGAAGTCGAAGTCCGGTGCTGCACGCCAGAAATACCAGCCGGATATTCGCGGGCTGATTGAATTCCGTGATGTCTCCTTCCGGTATCCGAGCCGGTTGGATCAACCGATTCTACGCAGACTGAATCTAAGTGTCAAACCCGGCCAGTTCGTCGCCCTGGTTGGCGCCAGCGGGAGCGGAAAGAGCACGATCATCTCGCTACTGGAAAGGTTCTACAACCCCATGACAGGAGGAATCTACATCGGCGGTAGAAACATTGCGGCATGGGATCTAACCTCGTATCGAAGCCATCTGGCGCTGGTCAGCCAGGAACCGGCTCTATTCCAGGGGACGATCCGCGAGAATATCCTCCTGGGGAGTACCAGGCCGTACACCAGTGAAAACGACCTGATCAACGCGTGCAAAGACGCAAATATCTACGATTTTATCATTTCTCTTCCGTACGTTCCCATCCACCCTAAACTTAGAACTACGCTAACCCATCCCAGACAAGGCTTCGAGACCATCGTCGGCACAAAAGGGGGCATGCTCTCCGGAGGCCAGAAACAGCGCATCGCCATTGCGCGTGCCCTTATCCGCGATCCGCGGATCTTACTGCTAGATGAAGCAACCTCCGCGCTGGACTCGGAGTCTGAGAAGGTAGTGCAGGCTGCTTTGGATGCGGCGGCACAGGGCCGGACGACCATTGCCGTGGCGCATCGGTTGAGTACCATTCAACGGGCGGATGTGATCTACGTGCTGGATCAGGGGGAGGTCGTCGAGTCAGGAACGCACGACGCCCTGCTTCGGAAGAGAGGTCGGTATTTCGAGTTGGTCAATCTGCAGAATCTGGCATGAATCAGTTGGTGGGCAGGCGTTCGGCGATAGGGTTTGCGTTTTTGATTATTATTTCATGAGTCATGTAGTTTAGGCTGTATGAAGCGATTATTGTTTCAGATCGCTCAATATCAAGTGGTTTCTCCAATCATGAGTCCAAGTCGTGAGATTTGTGACGGTCGAAACCGCATTGGGAAGTTCGTCCGAACTTCACCCAAATTTTGGGCGAACCACTCACGAACTATGAACGACACTAGCGGTAATGGTTGCGAGGATATGAGACATGGCCCACATCACAAACAGGTTATCGGCGTGTTCAGGGACGGCGTTCAGGTCTGGGCAGGGAGCCTTCACTGTTTATCAGATCCCGGACGAACTATTCGAGACATTCTGAATGGAACAGGAAATACAGACCTCCAAATCATTCTGCCTAAACTGCTGTCCGACTCGGATTCTGTCCGAATGATGAGGATGGGTCCCTATCAAGCCAAGAATCGTAGATATAAAGCCGCCGGTGAAAGGCAAGGGTCGTGATTAACCACTCTCTAAGACAAGGACCACAAGGCAAGATGAACCTGCGTCTATTGACTCTTGCCCTCGCCGGCCTGGCGGCCGCAAGTCCAGTTGACCTCCAGGAGCGCCAATGTACGTATCCTACTCTCCATCTTTGACTCCTGCCTAACACGAGCAAAGTATCATCCGGAAACGAACTGCGCGATGGCCCCTGCAAACCGATCACCTTCATTTTCGCCCGTGCATCCACGGAGCCAGGTCTCCTCGTAAGCACTCCCCGCATGCTTTGCAATAGCAAAGCTAAGGCAAACAGGGAATATCCACTGGCCCAGCAGTCTGCAACAACCTCAAAGCCGCCAAACCAGGCCAGGTAGCCTGCCAGGGCGTCAAACCAGCCTACACAGCTGATCTGGCATCCAACGCTCTTCCCGATAACACCTCCCCCGCAGCTATCAACGAAGCCATAGGCCTATTCGAGCAAGCTGCGTCGAAGTGTCCAGACACGAAGATTGTCGCCGGGGGTTATAGCCAAGGTACGGCCGTTATGGACGGTTCCATCAAGCGGCTTCCTGAGGAGATCAAGGACAGAATCAAGGGTGTGGTGCTGTTTGGGTATACGCGCAACGCGCAGGAGAGGGGGCAGATTGCGGATTTTCCCAAGGAGAAGGTCAAGGTGTACTGTGCTGTGGGGGATCTGGTCTGTGATGGGACGTTGATTGTCACGGCGGCGCATTTCACGTATGGGGTGGATACGGGCGATGCAGCGCAGTTCTTGCTGGGGAAGTTGTCGACAGCTTGAGTCTGATTCATGTCTTTTAAGCATTGTGGTGCCGTCGGAGTCAGAGACCTATGACTGGGTTTTGAATCTGGATCCGGCGTATATACGGATTACTATTCAGTAGTCTGAAGTACCTCTATGGTTGATCTGAGTAGGATATACAACTTGCATATGCATAGCCAAGGTGCTTACCTGCATGCTAATATATATTGTGAACCACAGTACATCCCAACTCCCTGACAGTTCGATCAACAGTTGGAGCCTTGTTAGATTAATTATCAATCCTAAAGAACATAGATAACACTGGCACTTTCTTTTAAATAGAGGCTTCTTTGCTGTCCCTTAGCTGTTGTGCTCTATGCCGCTTTAATTGTCTGTGTTGGTGGACTGTGATGACTGATCCACCGCCAAGGCCCTATTGGGTTGATAGCCGATATCGCCAGTTTAATAAACAAACCCCGTATTTCCCCTTCTCCAAGCTCCTTCTTCCGTTCACTTTCCATCTCGGTCCTAAAAGATTAATCCAAAAAGAGGCAAACATGTCGTTCTATCCTCCCGGCTGGGACTACGAGCGCGTGATGGACTGCCGCGATGGGGACTTCGAAACCCTCGCTGAGGAACAACGCATAACTCTAATAAACGGTCTCAAAGAAGCAGGGCTGTACCAAGCTTACGAAGACAAAGTAATAGAAACAGTCATGGATTCCATGGAAGCCGAACGACTAGCTGCAGAAGCCACCAAAACAGAAGAGCAGAAACTGGCTGATCGCGAAATCTATGCTCCCTACATCGACACCCTAAAGAATGTCTTCAAATTCGAGCCGGAATGGTCAGAATGGGGCTTTGTGGTCTTTCGCGCGACTGCCTATGGCCCTGAGCATGAGGCGAAGTGGGCGGAGTTTCGCCGGCGCTGGGACCAGATCATTGAGGAGGAGCATGCTGATCGGCGGGGTTTTCATCCCAAGTCAGATCGGGCGATTGAATTGCTGCAGTTTCGGTGGGTAGAGGATCCGTCACTGGACGGGGCGTCACCGGTTGAGGTTTCTCGGTAGGTGGTGGTCATCATATATTTAGGGATTTCTCTGTTCTAACGGAATAGGCGTTTTGACGAAATGTGGGCGGATCTTCCCACTGGACTCACCACTACAGCCTGTCTCATGGTGACTCCTGAGGCTCTGGAGTCAGTCCTCAACTCACCTCTGCCCTCTTCAGCGCCCCTGAAGCATCCTTTCGTGGTTGCAGTCTCCAGGGTCGCGCACTATCCACGCCCGGAGCTCACGCTTGCCGAAGCAAGCGAAGATGTCTTTGGTCAAGATTTCAAAGGATACTTCAATGTCGCCGTTAAGAGCCTTTTGAACCATTTCTACCCTATCGTCGCGCTGGATATCATGGACCTCCCTCAACTGGCGKGTCGCATGAAGGATATCTGGTGCGATACGTGTGGGGGAGGTATACGCCATCATCTGCAAGAGTCTAGTTGATCAAGAGTCCTTCCGTCCTTTTTCAGTCACTTTTCCGGGAACCATAGCTAAACGATTATACTCAAACCCGCGATATTTGTCGGTTCGTCTCCCTGAGCCAGATCATTTCCCCTTGTGTTGTCGAAGCCATCAAATCGGGCATCAACCCCAAATGCACCAATCTAAAACTGGGTGTTTATTACTCTGTGCTTCAGACGGAGAATTGGAATACCAGAATAATTCACGCAGTCGTCCCGGCTCAGTAACCAGAATGCTATCCATGATCGCAATCAGAGAGACGCAAAGTAAATGCAGAGAGGCAGATCTTTGTCGTCTCTTCGAGAATCATGGCCCTACGCTTCTCAAACGAAACCTTGCCAAGGTGAACGGCGGCTTCTGCCCTGTGATAGAACCTTCTCATGCAGCGTTCCATCTAGAACCACTCCTTCATGGCCATTATGGTTGGCCACAGGTGCATCCTGGATACTTAAGCGGCACAGCGCGTCGACTAGCGGCGAGTCCGCGATGATGTCCAGTGGATCAGCGTCTCACCAAATAATATCTGTAAAGCAAATGGCTCTTGGCCACAGAGGCTCATGCAATGTGGGATCTGCGATTAAACGGAAGTGATACAGCATGTCTGTCGATCTGGATCCAACAGGGTGATTCGGTGTTGGACTAACGAGACCGAAGGGGCTTCAGACCGCATCCTTCGCACGATGATCCGAGCGACAAGGAAGAGGTGATATCAGTCCGTCTCAAAGATGCAGATAATAAGACCATGCGAAGACTCCATATCCACCAAGACTGGCCAGTCAAGAAAATTGAAGTCAGTTGAGCGCCCGTCCGTAACTCAGGCGGAAACGATAGAGCAGCTGAGGTGAAGTGTGCGTTCCATAACGCGGTGATGTGAAAGTGTTGCAGCTCAGCCAACTATCCATTAAGGCACATGTATGTTTTCCAGGTTCTTCTGTCTGGTTGTCCTGGTCACATAGGCGCTACAATGCAATATATGTTGAGTTCTTCGATATGTATCTTCCAAGTGAGCGGTCGTCATCGCAACTGCGTCATTCATGCGCACTCTATCCTATCGTAAAACGAATTGTGCACATTAAGCATAGAGCCACCTCGCAGTGATAGATCATCCACCCGGGCCTCGATCCGAATTTAGAGGTTGAATAGGGCACTGGTTAAGCCATCCGTACACAATAGTTGGACGTGTGCCGGCGTCAGGCTGTTGGCAGAGAAGATAGCTCGAAGCAAACCCACCCGGCCCTGAGTCTCCACAGTATACGATACCGAAGCAGTCCGTTTCCACTATGGTGACCTCAACCAAGGGTCTGACAAAAGCTCTTTCGCCGATTCTCTCTCCTCCGGCCGCCATCGAAGCATCTTGCGCATAAACCCAAGAAACAATTTTTGCTGTGGTCCATGTAAATTCTCTTCCAAGTCCTCCAAGGACACTGAGGGGATTGGTGCTATCGCTTTCCAATTACCTGGTGGTCTCTCATTACTATTAGGACCGATAGGACTGGACAGAGATGCATACCTTCATTGTCAAAGAATTCCTTGGCGTAGTCGCTGTTTCGAAGCAGATCAGTCGGTGGCGGCCCAAGGATGGCAATCATCTCTGCAAGGTGATGGGCGTCGGAATTCTGCTTGTCGGAATCTCGGGCATAGAAAAGATGTCCTTTTTGGAAAAGGTCCCACGTCTGTAGCAGTATTCACAGTGAGTTAAAAGGGACATAGTTTATAACCATAATGAAGTCAGCTTCGAAGTAAGTGCGCTACATACCAAGACGCCCAGATTCCAAATGTCAACTTTCTCGTCCCAAGGCATGCGCAAGACCACTTCGGGAGCCCGATATATGTACGGTTGAATGTCCCCACAGTATGTGCTCGAGCCAACGCGAGCCTGACCAAAGTCACATAACACAGGTCGACCATGATTTTTAGTTCTTCCTAGTTTGCGCGAGGAATAAATAACTCGCTCTCCAACAATCTTACGGGGGCTAGGATGAGATTTCTCGCCCTCCTCGAAATCAGCCAATATTGAGTTGTCTTCAATACCAAGCATGATATTCTTTTCTTGGATATCTAGCAGGGTCAGAGTAGGAAAAACCAGTTCGGTAATAGTGGGTTCATACCGGTATGAACGATGCCTGCTTCCGTATGGAGAAAATCCAGAGCAAGAAGGACATGTGACAAGGTCAGTTTAAGGATCTTCTCAGGAAGAACTTTTGCCGCAAGCATATTCCTTAAGTCAAATAGACTTATGCCTAGAGGTGTGTGAATAAGACACTGGTAGTTGCCTTCGGGGGAGCTGATCTGAAAGGTGTCAAGTGCTCTGCGGACAAGCATGGCACCATGATGGCGCGTGATAAGGGCATTCAGATGATTGTAAACATCTGTTTCTCTTCTTCCCTCTGCTGAATCACGCTCAAAGACCTTCAACGTGGCGTAAGTGTGTTGCCTGGTATAATGTCAATTCTCCACCATCGACGCTGTACGGAAGCCAGCTAGACTAACTGTAGATCTCTGCAGAGCCATACTGTAGAATACGCCCCAAATCCCAACTTTCCAATTACTTGGTACTTTGAACGAAAAACCTCGCCTATTGTCACGGGGTAAAAGCGATCTGGCGAATACCATGGCAGTGTTTCCTCCTCGATCTTCTCGGCTGGGTCAAGAACAAGAAAACCAGATTGAGAGAACTGTCGCACTGGTGAGGCAGCACGCGGCCAAAGTAGCCGCCTAATTAGGGGCCATGATGGGCGGAACAACATTGCTAGTAGAGTGAGCCTCGGTGCCTTGACGAGTGATACAAAGCAAATAGAGATGTCAGGGAGCAGGACGGTAACGTAATTCCCGACCGAGCCGTCCACCCTACCGAGCCGCCCATCATTCCATATAAAATAGCACTCTTCAAGGCTTCGATATCTCAACAACCAAGCGTCTACAGGGTCCAGATTTAAGTATAAGAGATACTATAGTCATATAGAGTTATAAGCTATAGCCTCCTAGTATATATATACTCTCAGGTAACATAAATTACATCTGTATTTTTGGTAATATCGACTTTGTAGATATCAAGAGAGAGGAATAGTGTTTTAGGGCATTATGAAAGAGTATTTATATACTTTAAACTATACATAATCTAAATATCTTACTTACATTGTAGCCTATATAGGCATAGTTGAGATATTGGAGCCTTGAAGAGTGCTATTCTATAGGGAATACAGAGATGGGCGGCTCGGTTGGGAATTACGGTTAGTTTTCTGGCATCAGCGAGCTGACTCAGCTAATGCTGATGTAATCACGCACGTGAGCAAGGCCAGCGCTTCCTTTTACCAACTACTAACTGAGCATCTTTTGTACAGTCAAATCGATCGTGATGATGGGTGTATCCTCAACCTTGTATTACGTGCTGCGCGATATTTGCTTCTATCTGGGTACAGGTACACTATATTTTAGCGATCCTCTATGGACGTGCTGACAAAGGACATCGCGATTCCGTGGTTGGTTCTACCAAGCCTTGAAGAACAAAACAACCAGGAATTTCGCGTGCTTGTTCCTTGTTTGGTGGTTCCCAGCCGATAAGGCTCCCAGCTTGGCCAGCTCGCCCATTGTGATGTTTGCCAAGGCTCTTAAGTTGATTACTCTATGCCAACCACATTGAGGGGGGAAGTTAACACCAGTCTCCAAAGGACATGGATCGCATGAGCAGCCGTCGTTCAGTTGTTAGCTGACCTGCACCAGGTTGGCTGTTTCACCCTCTACATCTGCAACGCCATTTACTGGTCCATGCGGCAGTGTATAGAGCCGTGTCTTTCGTAGTCACTCTGGTTAAGACCTATCAGCCCCCTACTCGCACGATTTGGGTTGAACTTGGACAGAATCCTGATAATACAGCACTTGATGATATTGGCTTGGACCACCTTTGAATATCCCAAAACAGTGATTTATGTACATTCCACCCATGGGCCAAGGCGCTGTCAGGCAGTGCAGGATTCAAGGTTATGGGGAACGGGGATGATCAGCTCTTGGCACCGCAGCGGGATGCACAATAATCACTCTTTTGGGTTAGCGTGGAATGCACCATTGCCAAAAATGGTATACCATCGGTCATAGCCACAGGCATGATCAAGAGCAGGGTAATGGAAATCACCATGATAATGTATATATACAGGCTCCAGCACTTCAAAACTCTATTCCAACCAAAGTCTCAGTTCAGCGAACTGCTCCAATACAATAACAAACCAAGTCATGGACAAACTATTCTCCAGCAAAAACAAATCACCCCAGCCGGTCTGGACCTTCACCATCGACAGCTCCGGCGAAACAATCTCCTGCGCAGGCAGACCAGTCTTCCATCTTACTACCCAAAAATCAACACCGCACCTTACCATCTCGCGTCTCCCACCGCCAGGGCCATGGTCTCCAGCCCCCATCCCCATTGGAACTTGCACCGTCCACAAGTTCCCTTCTAGCAAGATGGACGTCACACTGCACGGACATGAATTTCTGCTCAAGCGCGACTTTCTCAAGAGCGATAACCACCACTTTGACTATCCGCCGCTAGGGCACTTCAAATGGAAGCCGGACGCATGGGGAGGGAGTAAACTCGAGCTGTTTGATAACGAGCGGCGCCTATTGGCAAGATACAACAAGAAGCTGTCTTTGAAAGGACAGGGTCAGCAGATTGAAGTGCTGGTCCAGGGGGATGAACGGTTTGTGGAAATGGTGGTTGTGACGGCGTTGGCGATGAGGCATTATATTGAGGTGGAGAATAAGGATATTAAGAAGGTGACTAAGATTCTTGATGGTGTGGGAGATGCTATGGGGGGTTAGTGTGAAGAACTCAACCATTATATACAACATTAATATGTATCAAGTTTAGGTCTTTAATTCACATCACTCTACGCCTTCAAATAGACTTCCTTCATGCCCTTGGCCACATGAGGATTCTGCACCAGACGGTTATGCCAAGTCGTCAACTCGGGGAATCGCTCGAGATCCAGGTTCGCCTCGCTCGCGCGCGCAACATATGGCAAGATAACCAAATCCGCCAGTGTACTAATAAACTTGTTAGCACGCTGCACATGTGGACGGTAGACTACAGACATACCACTTCTTGCCCACCAGATACGGGCTCCGCGCCTTTTGCAAATGCTCCTCGAGATGCAGATACAGCCGCAGCGCCTTACGCGTGTACAACTCCTCGGAATTATCGCTGTGGATGGTCTTGTTCAGGAACGCGATCCAGTTATTCACCTCCTCTGCTTCCTTGGACCCCTCCTTGTACGAAAAGTGGTGCTCGGCGTCGTATTGGGTGAGAAGGTAGTGCGCGATATCGGTCACGCCAGATGCACCGGTCTTTTTGCCTTCGCTGGTTACGTCGAAGAGGACAGGGAGGCTGGTGTATGCGCTTGCATCGTCGCGTTTGATCTCTTTGACGCTGTGGACGAGGTGGATGCAATGGTGTTGTCTGAGTCGTTAGTACTGAGCGACTGTAGAGGGAGTGGGGTGGGGTACAGCATACCCGATGAGCTGGATCAGCATGGCAATGGTGGCACCCTCCTTGGTCCGTGGTGAGGTGTACAGGGCGATGCGCCCTCTCTGCTCGTCGAAGACGTTCATTGCAATAGCTCTGGCGGGGTAGATGATCAGAAAGAAGAAATCTGCAAGACAGAAAAGTTGAAAGATACGTACCTCGGTGGCAACGGTGCAAAGGATAAGCTTTAGCAGAAACACGTGCTCCTGCAGCGAACATTTCTTAAGTTATCTAACTCGACCGAATCAGGCAACCCATCAGGCCATCTTGCGGAGTCAGCCAATCAGGACTGAGACACGGGAACGTGCCCGGCCAATCCCCGGATTCCTTGGTACGCTATGACTAGTGCCAAATCAATTGGCCAATCAGGCGTTCTTTTACTGCGGGAATGTACTCGATAATGGAGCCTCTCATGGCTAGAAGAGAGATATGAGGAGCACCTCAATGACGTCAACATCATGAAGCTTCATCCATAGGACAATGGTCATTCAGTCTGATGTAAGCATTCTATATAATATGTAGCACTTAAAACAGTAAAACAGTCACATCCTGATGCTACTACATATAATGAGGCATAGATATGATAAGATAGCAGTAGGCTTCTGTGGGTATAAATATGAGCTAGCAATATATATATTGCTACATACCAACTATTTAGAAACGCACAATTCACATGAGAACATGATTATTAGTGATCTATGTTATGCATACTTCCTGATTAGTCCTGCAGATAACTCCATAAATCCTCACAAGCATCTCTCAACGACTTCTCCGTCGTCCATCCCAACTCCACCGCTGCCCGCTCCGCACTGGCAACACACGACCCAACATCCCCCGGTCTCCTCCCCACCACCCGTCTCGGAACCGGCCGCCCCGACACGTCTTCCAGTGTCTGCACCAACTCCAACACGGAATGCCCACATCCCGTCCCAAGATTAAACGTGCGAAACCCATCCCGCACGCGGCCCTCCCGCGCCGCAGCCAACGCCGCCGTGTGGCCCCTCGCCAGGTCCGTGATGTGGATGAAATCCCGGATCGGGGTCCCGTCCGCTGTATCCCAGTCACTCCCGTAGATGAGGAGCTCGTCTCGCTTCCCGGTGAGGATGTCCACGACGGCTGGGACGAGGTTCGAGGGATTGACTTTCGGGTCTTCGCCTAGGAGGCCCGACGCGTCGCAGCCGATTGGGTTGAAGTACCGTAGGGCGACGATGGTCCAGGCGGGGTTTGCGCGGGCCAGGTCGGCGAGGACGGCTTCGCCGAAGAGCTTGGTGCGGCCGTAGGGGTTTGTGATTTGGGAGATGTTGGTTTCGGAGGGGTGAGACGCAGCTGGCTGGTTGAGTTCCGGTTGGTGGGTGCATTCTTCTTCGCGGAGGATGGGGCGGTTCTCGGCTAGTTTGCCGTAGACGTTTGCAGACGAGGAAAAGATGAAGGTGGTGATGCGGTACTGGTCTAGCAGGAAGAGGAGGTCGACGAGCCCGTTGATGTTGTTGCGGTAGTACTTGAGTGGGGTATGGATGCTCTCTTCGACTTGCTTGAAGGCGGCAAAGTGGATGACTCCAATGACGCTTGATTGCCTTGTGGATGGGTTGAGCATGTAGCGGTCGAGCAGGTTCCGCATGGCGGACATGTCGCGGTAGTCGACATCGTACAGCGTCGCCTTGGGACAATGGCCATTCGTGCCGCCAAAGTGCAGTTTCGCGGCCAGCAGGATCCGGGAAAAGACATGACGGTAGCTGTTACTCAGGTCATCGACGATAAGAACATTGTATCCCGCTTTCAGCAGCTCTAGACAGGTATGGCTGCCGATGAACCCTAGGCCTCCGGTGACAAGGACATACTCCTCGCCATCACCGACCGGTGTCAATGAGTCAAACAGCTCATCCGTCTCGCTGTCTGGCGTGGGGACTTCAGAAAAGAGCCGGGGGGAAGCAGATGGGCTTCTTTCAGAATGTGGACTTGAAGTCATACTGCTTGGACAGGTATACCGTATCACAGCCAAAGCAAACGAGCTATTTTCTACAACTTACAGGCTCATCGCAGGAGGCCCATCCTGGACAATAAGTCCAATACATGGCAGTCATCCTCGCCATGATCATGGCATCCAACGCTTCCATGACTTCACGTCGATGATACTATTTTCATCCAAGCTGGACTTCTGGACATGGTAGCCGAGACATGGTTGGTATTTGGTATGTCTGGCTTGGACTCGTAAGCCATACGATACATACCGTAAGTACTCCGTATCTTACATATTGTGAGATTCATACGAGGAATATACTTTGTCTTATCGCGTCGCCATTATTTGCTATTAATGCCACCATCATAGAGGGCGCAGCTAACGGTCAGCTTATGCGCTGGCGCGCCAAGTAGGCAACTACGGAAGCCAACGCCATATCAAATGTGGCGTTTGTGAATGTCTCACCGTTATCGACCAATTATGACACAGCAACAAAAAGATAGAGCTCAAACATGAGACCCAACGATCCGTTGTGGCGGTCAGCCCATTGTGATTTGTGGCTTCTCACTAGTGGGTGCTAAGTTTAGCGCCAGTGACAGCTAACCTGCGCAAGAATGACAGATCTATTCAATCCCTGTCTAGCCCCAGACCTAGGCCTAGACCACTACACACTAGATACACCGAGTCACCGACGCTATTTATTTATTCTTTCAGCGCGTGCATGAATCCCTCCCAACTGGTTGGTCCAAATCGCTCATAGAAATCGCCCTCCACCTCCGTGACAAACAGATAAGCGGCGCGATCGCGCAATTCGCGCACCAAGTCCACCAGCTCGCCTACTGGCGCCGCATTGATCATGTACCCGCACCGGCTCCGATCATAGGGCAATTCGGCGAGTCGACCCTGCACCTCGTCCGAACAGTACCGCTCATACGGCTCTTCGCAGGTCAGAATGAGGTCCGGGCAGGTGTCCGCCAACCCGGCATCGGGCGGTGTGCCAGGGTTATGGACGACCTACACCGCAGCAGCATCAGCATCAGCCACTAGCCAGGCAACTGAATTCAATTCCATTCAATCCCACGGAAAGCCAAAAGGGAAAAAAAAGGCAAAAACTAAAAAAAGAAAAGAACTTACCATCCGATCGCGCAGGATCCCATCATGACTTTTGATATACTTTGTGCAAGCGAGCAGGTACTCCTCTCTCTCCTCCGAATAATGGTTCGGCGTTTCGTCGAGGAGAATCCCACCGAGACCTAAACCCTCCGAGGCCGACCAGCTAGCGTACCGATCGATTTCCTCGTAGACATCTTCCAGAGGCTTATCGCAGTAGTAGATACGAATGTAGCCCACGGTGTAGACGTTCGGGAAAGCGTTGAGCTTGGGGACCTCGCGGGCGTAATCTTTGTTCGGGGAAGGGAGGTCGCCCGGCCCGCTGTTGGGGTTGACCACCACCAGGAAGTCTAGATCGGGGTGGGCGGTGATGCTGCGGAAGTTAACCAGTTCAGTATTATTGTAATACCGATCTAGCTTTTCGAGCCTAGGAATAAAGGATTGGCGGAACTCACGCGTCGTAGAGTGGGGCCCAAGTCGTGGTTGACAAAGGATAAATGTACAACGGAACGAGAACTCCTGACTTTGGGGGCATTTTTGCCGATGGTGATAAGATTCGGTAAGATGGCGAAAGGATGGCGATTATCCGATCAGATCGGGTCACAACGTCTAGTGCAAGTGATAGAATGATGAATGCTAAATAGGTGCTCTGATTGACAGGGGCGAGGAAGCAGGAACCCCCCACTGCGACCGCACATGGTCTATCTAGCTATCTACTCTACTAGTCTACAAGGCTACGACTAGGAGATAGGCTAGCGCTGACAAGGTTGTTTTTTTTTTTGCAGCCATGTGGCGCCGTTGAGAGCCAGTCGTGGTATCACATTTTCCATCGACAGCCTTTCAGTCTCTGCCCAAACACGCCTATCAAAGCTTGGACAATACGATGTCTCAGCTAGCCAGCCACCTATCAAGTACTTCCGCAATCCTGACAAAGCTAATTGATTACCTGTGATTACCTGTGATTACCTGAGATGTGATATGAAAATGAAACATTCAAAGTCAAACATGCCTCCCCGCAACCAATAACCATGGTTTCATCCACGTCAACTGGGCATGACAGCACACAAAGTCGGTAACTGTGGGTCAAAACTCTCGTAGAAATTCTGGCTCAGCGTTGTGAGATACAGATATTCCGCGACCTCGCTCAGATCCTGGACTAAGCCGCGGAGCGTTCCATTATTCATGGAAGGCACTGAGTGGATCATGTAGCTGTAAGCCGTCCGATTCGCTGGAAGCGCCTGCAGATTCGCGTGTTTGGTCTGATACTCCTGATAGGACTGCTCAAAGACAACTGTCACATCGGTCCCGTTAATGTTACTATATCGGGAATCCGGGATCGCGCCCGGGTTATGGATCACCTAATGATGAATCATTAGTAGAGACTCAAACGCATGTCTCGTACCGCCAGGCTGCGTTTGAGTTCGGTATGCTCTAGACACCGTATTGAAACATAATACAAAAAAAGAGACAAACTCACTGTCTGGTCTAGCCTCAGTCCAGAGGCGTTCTTGGCCGCTTCATTGATCGTAGCCAGGTATTCGGCCGAAGACGTGGTATACTCGCTAGGTACCTCGTCGAAAAAGATCCCATGCATGGCAAGAGTTGGCGACAGCGATGCCCAGCCGGAGTAGATTCCCACCTCCTGCAGCACCGTGGTCAGATTCCGGCTCGCATACCCTGTGCGCACGTATCCGACGGTCCGCACATTTGGGTACGCATTAAGCCGCTGAATCTGCTGTGCGTACTGCGAGCTAGGCTGCGAGCTGTTTCCCGGACCACTGCTGGGATTGATGATGATGGTAAAGTTGAGATTGGGGTAGTTGGTCACTCTGACGACATCAATTCACCGACGTTCTGGATGGCACAAGGTGTAGTGTAAACTTACTCCTCGTACAGTGGATCCCACGTACTGTTGGTTTCTGGCCAGACATAGAGAGGGAACAAAATCGTAGCCTTCTTGCCATGATGCTTTCTGGGCAGGATAACTGCCAATGGCACCACAATGACAATAATGACCACAATGGCAATGGCGACGCCGATACAAATCCACAAATTGCGTCGTCCTTTCACTTTCGAAGAAGCCATTGCAGGCGAGCGTGGTGGGACGATTGGAGTGAACAGCACGTAAGCCACTTGACAAGACAAGTGATGGAGATAACAACAGAAAGGCGGATCTATAGCAGCAATCCAAAGCGATCTCGATTCTCTACAAATACTTGAGAACGAACCTTCCCCGACTCCTCCACCACGGTCTCCCCGGCCGGCCGAGAGTATTGGCAATTTTTGACGAGAGTTAGCGGCAGAAGACCAAGACACATCCAGACCCTTGACTCGCTAGACGTATGCCACGCCCAAAACTCAGACACTGGTCGCAGAGTCATAGACTCGTTCCTGATAAAAAATTATTTTTGGCTCGAACCACTGCAGCACTAGCGCCAGTGTGATTTTGGTCTGTTTCCTATCGTAATTTGGGCGGCAAAAGCCGAGCTGAAATCAGTACTAAAATTTCGTTTTCTTAAGCACAGGGACTCTGTAGCTCAGCCACCATGGAGTTGGCTTCGTATATCTGTCATAGAGATGTATCACTGAGTCCAGCAGGCTCTACTTTGCATAGACAGCAGCAGGCAGGGTGGTTGTGGCTGCGGCCTTATATCATCGTCATATAGATCCGCACGCCCATGCCCCTGTAGTTTTGTGCATATCACTCGTTATCGTGTCCCTGATCCCCAGTTTCATTTGCCATGGGGACAGAATATCTGGGACTCCATGCCATTGGATGGCATGGAATGCTCAAGACCTGGTGGGACAAAGTACTCGCAGTCCTGCTATTGACCACCATCGTTGTGGGTTGTCTATACATCCTGTTCATTATCGGGAAGAAGCTTTATGCTCGCTGGGAGGTATGTTACCATCTGACGTCTCTCAACTCGAATACTGATGACCTGGTGTAGGGGAGACGCCAACTGTCCGCCGCCCCCGTGGCCATCACCCGTTATCTTGACCGCTTGAAGAGGGAAACGAAACCTCTCCGTTCGCAGAACCCCGCAAAGGTGGATTTGAAGACATTCGGAGTATACCTGGGGTCAATATCCAGCCCTCCTAGTCCAGAGCAATTGTCCATACTGTCGCGATGGGACGTTGTCGTGGTCGACCCCCTTCAACCTGGGGTGGTGAGCGGTCTATACAATTATTGTTCCTCCACCCACGTCCTTGGTCGCCTGGATGTTCAAAGTTTGGTAAATCCAGATGCGAGCGTCACAATCGATGAAGTCATTGAATGTTTGTGTGTCGTTGCTCAAACAGTCATCTCGAATTTCACCCATCCGCAAGGAAGGGAGGCACCCTTTCACGGAGTCCTCTTGGCAGACTGGCAGAAGCATTTCCAACCAGTTGTACTCAACCAATTGGTCCAATACCTCAATGGTGTTGGGCTCGATGTATGGCTGGAGATGTCACCACCTGACTATCTCAGTGAGCGCGAATGCCGCGACATCGACATAGGCCGCATTCGCGGTGTTGTTTACCGCAACGGTACGATATTCCCCGACGGCAACCAACGGGACTACTTCCAGATGGAAAAGATGCGGACTGTCATGCGAGTTGTGGCTGCGCAAAAAGCTATGGGAGGCTGCACTCACGCCATGTGGGAGACTGTCCAGGATGATGTGGACGTATCCCACCATGTTCTTGGACGGACGTTCAAGTGGTGCGGTTACAACAGCGCCATGACCTGGATTGGTCCTCAGTCCGCTCTGACCAACGCCGAAGTTGCCACTCGTCGAACAATCAAGAACGAACCCCTGGGAGCATTGATGTGGTTGAAGGACGATATTGTGCTCAAAGCGCACGACAACTGGCGCTTCAATGATAAGGTGAGTAATCCACTCCTCCGTAGCGAG